ATCCAGTGACAGTCAGGATGTAAATTTGGACTTGGTGACTGACTGGACGTGGTGGTGTTGGGGACGGAGCAGGGGTGGGGGGAGGAGGCGAGGGGAAGGAGTTCACTAGAATTTGGACTCCTCCCGGATAGAAGGGTGTGAGAGCCTTCTCTCTATGCCCAGCGCCAGCTTGGACCTCAGCCAATGCGTGCTGGAAGTCACTTTGGACCCTTCTTTTCTCGTCCATTGGAGTCTCTATCCTCAGTTGAGCATCCGACTTTGTCTCAGGTCATCATCTCACGGTTCGTGAGTTTGAGTCCCGCATCGGGCTCTGTGCTGTCGGTGTGGAACCCGCTGCGGACCCTCTGTCCCCCCTTCTCTCTGCACCTCCCCCCGTGCTCTCCCTCTCTCTCTCTCAAAAATAAATAAGCATTAAAAAATATCACGATCACAATAACGGCCAGTGCTGCTTTCGCTCGGCCCTATAGCACTACCCAAGGCTGTCCACATCTGTTCTCTGTTTCGGGGCCAGGAGTCCACAGAAGGGGGGCATCTCGCCCTGCTGCTTGGGGACAGAGCCAGGTCCAGGACTGGAAGGACCATTGATCACTTGAGCCCGTGTCCATTTTACCTGCGCTCCCTCCCTTGCGCCAGCCCCACGTGGTAGACGTCACTGATTCATTTCTGTTTCACAGGTGATAAATCGAAGCCATTACGGTGGGGTGGAAAGAGCCAGACGCGTCTGACTTTGCCAGCTGTGCGGCCTCGGGCAAATCACGCACCCCTTGGAGCCTCAGTTTCCCAGTCTGTCTCAGTGCTGTGAAGAGGCGGTGGGGGCCTAGGCCTGATCGTAGTTCTCATGACCAGAGAGGCGAAGTGTCCTCTCAAGGTCAGTCAGCGAAGGAGGGGGGACTGGGATCCGACCCTCCTGACTTCCGGGCCCGTGGGCTGTCTGCCCAGTGACCCTGGGAACCTTGGGCTGTGGCGCACGCCCAGGGCACTGGAGACTCAGGGAGGGGGGCCCAGCTGGGCAGAAGGGACCCCGGCCCCCTGAAGCCAGAGTCCAACCTCCTTCCACAACCTCCTTGGCCCGTCCCCAGGGAAGGAGCAAAGATTCATCAGTTAAGGTACCAGCTGGCAGGCGGCAGTGAGGACAAGGGCACCAGCTGCCCACAGACTCCCTACTGGGGAGCCAGGCCAGGGGGGAAGGAGGAGAGGGCGGGCGGGAGGGAGGCGGCGGGCAAAGTCCGTGACCAAAACGTCTGGCGCGGTTGGCGGTCCTTCCCTCCCCTTTCCCCACACCAGTCCGTGCCAGCTGGGCCTCCTTCTCCCTCGCCACCCACTTTTCCTTCCGGAGCTGTGGAGGCGCGAGAATCCTTTTGACTCGCCCGCCAGCTGGGTGACATCCTTGGGCAACCCCCCCCCCCCACCGTGAGCCTCAGTTTTCCCTTGGGTCAAACAAGGGTAGTAACACCAGTGTCCCAGTAGTAACTCCTCGTGGTGACAAGAGCTCACGCCAGTGAGGGACTCGGACGGGGAATTCGTAATCCCCCTGGGGAAGGACAGCAGTGTCCACAAGTCCCTGTCGCCCTGGGCCCCCCAAAGCCATCTCCTCGCTCACAGCAATGGCCTGTCAAAAACAATGTCTATTTAACGAGTGATTATTGGGGCGCCTGGGTGTCTCCGTTGGTTGAGCTGGGTTGGTGTCGGCTCAAGGCATGACGTCACGGGTTCGTGGGTTTGAGCCCCACATCCGGCTCTGTGTGGCGCCTGCTTGGGATTCTCTCTTTCTCCCTCTCTCTCTGCCCCTCCCCCGCTTGTTCTCTCTCTCTCAAAATACATAAATAAACTTAAAAAAAAAAAAAAAGGAGTGATTATTTACTTTCCAGGCCCATGCTTATCACCTTGTCATTTTCAGGACAATCTTTCCTAGGAGCAGGGTAGGAGGGGCCTTTTCTTACACTCAAGGGTATGGAGATTCAGGGAGGTCAAGTCACTTTCTCAAGGTCACACCGACCTAGGGTGACTGGGTCAGTTATCTGACAAAACGGGGGCACTTTTGAAAATGAAAGCCGGAGGGGCGCCTGGGTGGCTCAGTCTGTTAAGCGTCCGACTTCGGTTCAGGTCATGATCTCACAGTCTGTGAGTTCAAGCCCCGTGTCAGGCTCTGTGCTGACAGCTCGGAGCCCAGAACCTGCTTCAGATTCTGTGTCTCCCTCTCTCTCTGCACCTTCCCTGCTCATGCTCTGTCTCTATCTGAAAAATAAATTTAAAAAAAAAATTAAAAAAAAGAAAATGAAAGCTGGAGCTATTGCTGATTCAACCAGGACCGGCCCAGGCGAAGCCGGGAGTGCGTCACCCTCTGTGGACAGCGTGGATTCTAAGTCCTTCCCCGCCCACAGTTTCCAGAAGGGGCAGGGAGGAGATGCTCTGGATTCGATCCAGGGCACCCCACCTACTCCCATGACCCCAATCAAGTCTCATCACCTCCTTGGGCCTCAGTTTCCGGCTCCGTCAAAGGAGAGCAGAGGAGGCCCAGAGAGGCCCAGTGATTGGCTCAAGGTCACACAGCCAAGTCTGGGCTGAATGAAGATTTGAGTGCAGGTGCCTTGACTCTGGGAACGTGATAAGGATCAAAAAACGCCTGTAAAGCCCTTGCTTGGTACACAGCCTGGCACACAGTGACCACCCCAATGCCTGGTATCTTAGGTCTATGTGATGTACTCTCCTCCCACCACCGTGCACCTCTTTCTTCCTAGGGGACCCAGACCCGCTCGTCTCCCGGTCCCTTGCCCGAGGAGTACAAAACGAATGGGTTCTGGCCTGTCACAGACCCCCACTTTGAATCCCGGCCCTGCCTCTCACTGTGTGCCCTTGGCCAACACTGTCCAATGGAACTTTCCGCCATGACGGAAATGCTCGAAGATCTGCATCATCCACTCCAAGAGCCACGTGTGGCTGGTGGCCATCTGAAAAGTGGCCGCTGTGACTGAGGAATGGAATCTTTTCTTCTAATGAGTTTAAATTGCGAGAGCCACACGTGGCTTGTGGCTACGCCATTGGACAGTGCAGCCTTGGAACCGTGACTTAACTTCCTCTGATGCTGTTTTCTTAGCTCACCCATGGGGCTCATAGCACGACTTGGACGAGTTGTTTCCTCCTGTGAGAGTTAGTAAGTGGTCCCAGTAGCACAGGGGCTATAGCTCGGTGCTCAGTAAAAGGTGACTTTGGTTATTAGCTGCCTTTTGCTTTGTTGTCCCCATGTGACCGCTTCCGTCCCCCCACCCTTTCCACCCTGTGTCCGCGGGGCGAGAACTATTTCCTGTCGCCCGTGGGGCAGTCGGGCCACAGGAGGGCCTCACCCCTGCAAAGATCCGGGTGATCGTCTTTGGCCTCTTCAGAAACTGCACGGCTTCACTGTCAGCCAGGTCCTGGAGGCTTTCAGGGATGTGCATGGCGGGTGCTCTGCTCCTGGGGCCCCGGGAGGCGGGAGCAGGGATGCTGGGTGCTGCTTGCTGGGCGCCGCCGTCCAGAGGCTCCAGGCCCGCCCTGGGCTTGGCTCCTGCAAGACGAGACGGATGGTGGGAGGTTAGAGGCGCAGGCGTGGGGTGAAGGAGCTGCCAGGAGTCCCAGGAATAGGGGCATGGGGTAAAGGGTGCTGGGGTGGGGGTGGGGTGGGGTCCCAAGACTGGGTTCATGTGGGGTGATGGGTCTACCAGGGTTCCGAGGATTGGGGGCATGGGGCAAAGGGGCTGGTAGGGGTCCCAGAAGTTAGGGGTGCAGGGTGAGAGGGTGGCTGAGGGGCCCATGAATTGGGTGCAGGGTAGGGGAGCTCCTGAGAAATCCGGAGATGGGGGTACAGTGTGAAGGGGTTGCTGGGGGTCCCAGGGGTCAGGAATGCAATCCTAGGAGGCTGTAGGGTGAGGGGGCTGCCTGGGGCCCCCGAGGTGGAGGTGCACGGCGAGGGGATCCCAGCGCAGGGAGGAGGCGTGGGGAGAGGGCTGGGATACCCGGGTCACCTCCCTGACCCAGAAGCCAAAGGGCTCATTCTAAGGACTGTGTTCTCTAAGGAGACGCGAGTAGGACTTTCCAGGGACCAGGGGGTGCCAGGCTGTAGATCGGCGCCCCCGGGGGGAGGTCTGAACCACAGGAGTCCCTGCCACGTTTTGGGGTGACAGCGCCCATAATGGAGGACCCAGGCATCTCAGGGTGGATTTCAGCCTGTCCTCGTGGCTTGGGATTTTCGTAGGATGAGAGCCTCCCCTCCGAATTCAACTCCATTTTCCCGAAAGTGCTTTTTCCTCAAGCTGGGGGGGGTCTGGACCTCACAGGTGTGGGGAACATGGGCTGCGAACTGAGCTGTCCCGTCAGAATTAGGAGGCCACGCCCCAGGCACCAAGCTACCTTTTAAGAACTGGAGTCTTCCCTTTAAGGATCTGGAATGGGGGTGGTGGGGCTTGGGGGTGATGCTGCCTGACAAAGGGCCACCCCTACTCCGGAGGCCCGGTCTGCGTCACCTGGAGGCGGGCGCTTCCTTCCGCCCACCCTTCGCTCCGGGTCTCCGGCGCCACCTCCGCCTTCTTTTGGGTCCGCTTTTTCCCGCCTTTTCGCTCCTCCACAGCTGATTGGCTGCGGCCAAGTCCCGCCCCCCGCCCTTTCCCCGCCTACTCGGGAGCGGACACGAGCGGGGGCGTGGCCTCCGCGGACGTTGGGCCGCCCGCCGTTGGCTGGCGGCGCGCGGGAGCCCTGCCGAGACCCAGTCCTCCCGGGAGTCTCGCGCCCGCTCCGCCCCCTTCTCTTTGAAGCGCGCGGACACGGAGAGGCTTCCGCAGCGCGTGCGCCGCGCTCAAACAAGGCGAGAGAAGAAAGGCTGGCAGATGGCGCACGCGCGGTTGAGACAGGGCATCGGAGGGAAGATGGACAGCGCGCCGTGACCCAGGCTTTGCGCATGCGTCTTACTGCAGGCTGAAGCCGAACCTTGGGGACCCAGGACACCTTCGTACGCATGCGCAGGAGGCTCAATGACAGTCGAGCGTTGGCTAAGGTGAGGGAGACGGCGGACTGCATGGCCGGGGGAGGGCCGCCCTGCATCCCCTATGTAGCCTTTCCGAGCCTCTCCTATGCTCCTAAGATTCACCTGTTGCTTAGACCCCGCAGAAACCCGTTATACAACTAAAGGGTCTCTGGGCCCGAAAAACGCCCAGGACTCAAAATCTCCGACTCCTGCCTGGGGCGCAGACCAAATGTGCAGTGTGGGAGGGCACACAGGCAAGACGGGCTACAAGACTGGCAGATGGGCTCTGTGCCCTGCCTGGGGTATGGACGGTCCCTGGAGGTGGAGAGGGCGCTTTTCCTGTAGATGACCTTTGACCCCTGCCCATTTCCCTTGTTTAGGCTCCAGGGAAAGGGTCTGGCTATGCTGCTGGTGACCCGGGGGGTCTGGGGATCCAGGGTCCGAGTATGGTCCCTGTTGCCCACGCTTCTCGGGCCCCCCCGGGCCCTGTCGTCGCTAGCGGCCAAGATGGGGGAGTACCGCAAGATGTGGAACCCCACGGAGCCCCGCGACTGGGCCCAGCAGTACCGCGAGCGGTTCATCCCGTTCTCCAAGGAGCAACTGCTCCGCCTCCTGATACAGGTACCGCCTGTCCCGGGTCCAAGAGCCCGGGGACTACGACTCCCGGCAGGCATCGCGGCGGCACAGCCCTACGTGCCGCAGAGGGCTCTCCTGGCGCCTCCTGGGAGTTGTAGTTCCCGTTCCCTTTGTGCTCCGAGGTGGGCGTGGCGTTGGAATGCGGCGGGGGTGGGGGGGCTCTGTGAGCCGTGGATGTAGTTGATTCCAGACTCAAGCTTGTTCTGGGGTCTTGCTTGAACAAGCCTTCTCTGGGGCATGGTTTTTACCTCTGCAAAATGGGTATGATAATCATCCTCATCAGTATTCTTACTGCTACCTAATAATAATCACCATACTTATGAAGCTTTAATCATAATTATTATCACACTGTTTGAGCTCTTACTGTTTGGCACTGTGCTAAGCATTTTCCATGCGTTGTTGGATCATCAGAACAACCCAGTAAGAGAGACACTTCCGTCATCCCCATTGTACAAATGAGGTAACTGAAGCAGGGGAAGGAAAGTGACTGACTCAAGGCTGTGTCGTTGTGGCCCAGGTTTGCACCGAAGTGGCCTGACCAGAGCAGGGCAGGGACTGTGGTCTACGGTGAGGCATTAGGCACCTGCTCCACTGAGAGTCCTGGTCTGGCTCCAGAGCTAAGCTCCTGCCCCACTGTCATCATCCGACTTGTCATGATTGAGGGTTATCATTCATTCATTTTAAAATTATTGATTGAACACCTGTCTGTACTAAGGCCTGTGCCAGACTCGACCCACAAGCACACACGTAAATCAGACATACGTAGACACACACGCATGTATATGGACACACGATGGCATTAGATTGTCACCATCGATCTCCGACAAAGTGGGTGTGATCCTCAGTTGCTGATAAGGGAACAGGCCTAGAAAGGTAAAGGCGTTCACCTAGGTCACGGAGGTAGGAAGCACAAAGAAAGAGTTAAATATGTGTGTTCTGGAGTCAGACAGGCCTGGTTTGGAGTCTCGGCTTCTTCTTCTTTTTTTTTTTTTT